GTTTCTCAAGTGATGGCCACCAGCTGCTCCAATGTCCACCAGTTTACCAAACCTGACTAAAGCAGAGAGGCTCTGTCTACTTCTTAATGGTTCCACGGCGGGGTCCTGGGATTGAATCTGCTTGGCTGTGTCTGGGTCATGCACCCTTTCCCAAGCCGACCACTCTTACCAGAGATGTGAGGGTTGGGTGTGCCAGGCAAGGACTGTGCCCACCTCTGGGACCTGGGACAAACCACAAGTGTGGTAGCTGTTTTCACAAGGAAAAGATTCTTTGTTACAGGAGAGAGGTAGATGCTGACTGGACAAAGACATTATGGACCTGTAACACAGACTGACACAGGGGACCTGCCCTGAAGATTAGGAGCACACACAGCAGGAAGCAGGGATGGACACCCCTCCCTGTGGTCATCACTTCCACGTAGTCACCTGGCATCTATTGAGTTTTCCTTGTGCATGAAGCACCAGACTCGTGATTACTGAAGGCACGGAATTCCTAGACAAGTGGCTGATGTAGGGGGCCCCAGGGATTGGGGGTGATAACAAGGTGGCAGTGGCACACAAGTTTTTTGGGGTGGCACTTTGACAGGCTGCCCTATGAGTGTCCCTTGCAGCGGGAGACTGTCCAGAGATGCAGGGGTTGGTGTGTGAAGAGGAGGAGGGTAAGGCGACTCCTGGGGAGGGGTGCCAGAGAGGGGACTTCTGTGTCAGTGATGTTACATTGCAGAGAGCCTGCAAAGCTGCAGTGGCTTGGGGTCATCATGGCTTCTTTTATCTATGGCTAGCAGATGTCGGGGGCAGCTGTGTGTGTTATGTGAAGCAGACATTCTAGATGGCTAAAAAAATTCTGCTGAACTGAGTTATATTAAGGCAATTGAATGTATAGAAATTTGAGTTTGGCACGGAGAGTCTTTTGAGCTAACAGGTCTCAGCCTACAGGCAAGAAATAAAAAAATCTAGTGGCCAATACACAGAAGCCACTTTTGGCTCCTTTATGTAACAGGGCTTCAAAATTAACCTCAGTTGTAAATATAACAATCAGTTAATATCAGCACATTGAAGACCCGAGGCACAAACTGTGGAATAATTACCACAGTAGCTAACATGTTTCACATATTGGCTATGTGGCAAGTACCATGTCATGTGTCTCATCCAAACTGTCTCATTTAATCTTCAAAGCACCTCCAGGAGGCATAGATTATTATTACCACTATGATTTTACTATTATCATCTCCATTTGTAGATGGAAAAATGGAGAGGTTGAGGCCATAGCTAGTTGGAGGAACAGATAAGCTGGAGACCCAGGGGGATGCTGTATGGAGCCCATTCTCTCAAATCGACTGCCATGCCATCTCCCAGTGGCCAGGCAATCTCTACTGACCTCAACTTGTTTAATGGCAAGGCTTGATGAAATCACCAAGTGACACTGCTCAGTCCATCTGACATTCCTAGGATTGTTCTGTGTGGCTCCCCAGGTCTAAATATCCCTGAGCAACCTCATGATGATGGCTGTATTTTAAAGGAAGTGGCAAGAATGGAGAGGTAGGCCAGTGTGGGACCAGATTGGCAGTGGAGTTAGCCCTAAGAAGAGCAAAGGAGGACCAGGTGGTATGCAGGCTGGAGGTGGTGCCCCTCCCAACACTTCCATGTCATCTTCGTTTTGGGGTCCAGGTTGTTGTCATGGCAAAGGAGAAAGAATGACAGGAACCACATGATGGCTCTTGCACATTCTGCTTGAACATTTATCTAGCCAAAGTGAGTCACATGTCACAGCCTGACATCAATGAAGGCAGGAAGTATGTTTCTTCCACAAGGAGGGAGACTAAGGGGAACTCATTAGGGACAGGTCGAGAGAAGGGCAGTTTTTGAACCAAATATTAAACCTACCACAGATGGATTCATAAATAAGTAATTGCAATACAATGTGGTAAGTTCTCTGGCAGAAATCTTTGAGTACTGGAAGTGAGCTTAACTCTTTCAGTTTTAGAACAAATAGAGTTGTAGTGGATGCATTGTTTCTTCTCTTAGATTTTGCAAACTAGAATTTACACAATATCTTTGGAGGCCAATACTAGCCTTTATTCTAAAATCCTGTGGCCTCATTTCTATTGCCTGGCACCAGCCTGGCACTAATACCTGGTACATACCTACTGAACGTGTTCTGTATTCCAACGAAGTCCTTACTCTCAGGCTGGTGATCCTGCTAGCAATGCTGGCCCCAGGTGATCTCTTAGAATTTCTGCTCCTAGCTGCCCAGTAACTGTTCTGTCCTGGAAATTTTTCTTGGCTGCTCATGCAGAGTTTTATCCTACCTATATGGAGGACTGATGCTCAGCCAGCAGCTCTGAGAACTTCTGTAGAGCTTTCTGGAGACTGCTGCATAACTTACCGTCCAGTACTCCGTCCTGCAAATGTGCCTCTTCACCTTTCCAATCTCCATCTTGCAGTGAGGCTCAGTGCAACTCCTGGGCTCTCTTTGGTTTCCTCTTCTTTGTGCTGAAGTCTAGAAATTTTCTCCTGTCAGAATATGTGCGGATGATTGGACTAAGCTTGTGTTTCTCCCTTTCTCAAGGAGCATAGGCTATTACTGGTTTTTTTTTTTCATTAAGTTTAGTGGTACATTTTAGGTATACATTACAGTTACATTCATCATTGGGATCTTGTACCTTTCATGATGTATCTTGGTTCTTATTTTTTCCCCCTTCCCCTGACCTCCCTTCAACCCCTCCACCCCTCCCTATTTACAAAGAATTTGTTTCCATTTTTTTACCTTTTCTCATATTTTTTTCCTTTCCCCTACCTCTCCCACTTCCCCTACCCCTTTAGACCTTTTCTTCCTATTTCACATTATCAATTATACATTTTGATCTTTATTTACACTTTTAGTTTCTTACACCAGAGAAATTATTCGGTATTCACGCATGTGTGTCCTATTTATTTCCCTTAAGAGTATGTCCTCAATGTCATCCATTTAGCTGGAAATGTCTCTAGTTTCTCATTCTGCTGAGTAGTACTCCATTAAAAAAAAATCTTCTTTATCCACTCTCCAGTTGATGGGCAATTGGGCTGTTTCCAAGCTTTAGCTATTACAAACTGTGCCACTATAAACATGGGTGCACATATATCACTGTGGTATGATTCTTTTAATTCTTTTGGGAAGATACCCAGCAGAGGAATAGCTGGGTCAAATGGGACTTCTAATCCTAGTTGTTTGAGGTATCTCCATATTGATGGTTGCTCCAGTCTACACTCCCACCAACAATGGAGAAGGGTTCCTTTCTCCCCACACCCCCACCAGCATTTGTTATTGGTTGATTTCTTGATAGCAGCCATTCTTTGTGGGGAGAGGTGGAATCTCAGTGTTGTTTTCATCTGCATCTCTCGAATGACCAGTGATGTTGAACATTTTTTCATGTTTGTTTCCTGCTTTTACTGCTTTATCTGAGAAATGTCTGTTCATTTCAGATGCCCATTTTTGAATTGGATCTTTATATTTGGGGGGGGCTCTTATTTTTTAAAGTTCTTTATATATTCTGGATAGCAGACCTTTGTCTGAGGAACAGCTGGTAAAATTCCTTCCCACATTGTAGATTGTCTTTTACCTCTGTTGTGGTTTCTCTTTGTGCAGAAGTGCAGAAGCTTTTTAATAAAATGAGATCCCAGGTGTTGGTTGACTCTTTGTGCTAGTTCCCATGCTACTGAGGTTTTGTTCATAAAGCCTTTTCCTATGCCAATGTCTTCAAGAATTCTACCTAACTTATCTTCCAGCAAGTGTTTTTTGATGTCTAAAATATAGTTGTATCTAAAAGAATGCCCTGCTTTCTAGTTATTAATAGCAGGCAGGTAATCTGGGCCTTCTTCTTGCCTTTGTCCAGAAGCAGAAGTCTTCAAAGCCTCTGTTTCGTATGCCAGGTTGATGATTTCCTTTCCCATTAGAATTGTGGCTAATATGGTAGCTTTACCAAGAACCCCTAGGACTTTTCTTTTTTGTTTGTTTGTTTGTTTGTTTAGAAGCATAGATTTAGCTGGGATATGGTGGTATATGCCTGTGATCCCAGCAATCTAGGAGGCTGAGGCAGGGCATTAACAATTCATTAGAGCCAAGTCTGGGCAACTTAGTGAAGACCCTGTCTGAAATTAAAAAATAAAAAGGGCTGGGGAGGTAGCTCAGATGAAGGCCCTGGGATCAATCCTCAGTCCTGGAAAACAAAAGTCAGCATAGATTTACCTGAAAATTATAGAAATTCATAAGGAGAGGGATCTTAACGTATTGAAATACAAGAGAAATAACTCTACAGTATTTATTGAGTGCTGTCTACTTCTAGATACTGTAAATATAACAGTAAACAAGAATTAAAAAACTTTTGTTCTTATTACGTGTATGAGAGAGAAAGTAGAGAGACAACAAGTGTGACAAATGAGTTAAAATCTTAAAGTCTATAACATGTCAAATGGTAAGTATGGTGGGAATTATGAAGATATAAAGATCCTCCCAGCCCACATGTGGCACTGATTGGAAAACATGGCTGCTGTCCCTTCATAAACTTTTATGACAGAGGCCATCTGCTTAGAGGTAAAATGGCCAACTATATTACCATAAATGTAAATCTAGTGTAGGACCATCCCCTCTTGCCCTGCTAATCTCTCATTTGTGAACACTTAACCACAAAGTCACATTCCTGCATCTATTTGCTAACTTGTTCCTTTTCCATTTCCCTAACAACACTGGATGCTCCGTGAGGCAGGTACCATGTCTGGTTTTGCTCAGGAGCATAACCCAAGAACTCTATGGAGGCTTGGCATTTGGAAAGTGGTCAATAAACACAGGTTAGCTGTTAAATCATTTGTTGGAGGAATTCATAGCTCCATGACATGGTTCTTGATATCTCTCTGATTTATATCTTGTGTGGTACCTTCCCACTTTTCTCTTGAAACATGCCAGCCAATTTCATTTTGAAATTTACCAGTTGCGATGTCACTTTTCCTTATTTCTCTTTTCACAGCTGTGCAATCCTTGCACACCCTAAATGACCAGATTTCCCATTTTATTGTCACCAAGTCGAAGGCACTGGAGGAAGACAAAGACCCCTTTCTACCCACTGAGAAAGAGACTCTGAAGAGCTCCATGATTTTGATGAGGCACCTTTTAATGGATGCTCAGGTACAAAGATCAATAGAGAAATTCTATATAAAGTGGTATCTTTTTTCTTCCCTGGTATTAGCTACCCAAGAATGTTCAGCTACCAAACCTACTAAAAGTTGCTTTGGCAATAAACAACCATATAACAGATATTCTGACATCATGTGTCCTGGATTTCTGAGTAGGTCTTATTTGGATTTTGTATTAAGGTGACTTATTTTTAAGTAAGTGATAGGGCTTAGAATCAATGTATGTGCTGTCTCTGAGAATTTAACAGATCTCCCATTAGCCTTAGAAAGTGAAAATTCATAACATACTTGGCAGGCGTCAAAGCTGGCAAAGATGTTGGAATGGAGCAAATAGTTATCCCAAACTGCATCTCTGAGTAGCTAATGAATATTTTCGTACAGTTGATGTACCACCCAGTAAGTGAATCACCACTCTTATTGTTGTTGTTAATGCTAGCAATGAATTCATTACTGAATGTATTTTGCTCTTTGCCTGCTATTGTTGAGGTGTTATTTTTCAAGGTTTCCCTTAGTACACTATTTTATTGAGCTATTTGAAAATAATCTATCTCCTCCTTCTGGCTTTGTTGGGGGCTGTCTCCAGATATGTTAATAGGCAAACACCAGGTGTTTTAAGAGAATTGATAGTTTTCTATGTTTGGGGCTAAGCTGCAACAGGTCCTATTGTTTTTTTCTACCTCTTCAGTCCCTGAAAGTATTTCGAGGAATGCTCTTTGGGTTTGGGGGGTGTGTGTGTGTGTGTGTGTGTTTGTGTGCGTGTGTGTGTTCACCCTGGAGCTTTCTTCCTGAGTTTGTTTGTTCTTGAACAACAGTGAGATCAGAATGGACTCCTACATTCCATTCTGTGGTAGATTTCGAACTGTGGTTTCTTTGCTTTTGTTTCTACCGTGCTGAGGCTTTATGTTTTATTTTTTGAATCAGTCCCAAGACCTGGATCTTGTACTAGTAAGACTTTAACTGGCGATGCTTTTGTACATGTCTCACCTGTCAATGTTTGAAGCTGCCCCATGGGATTCTTGAGTCCTGTGTTGAGGTACCCTGAATTATGCAAAGCCTTTCATTTCCATTCACTGTTCTCCCTTCCCTCTCTTATTATGAGCAGCAGTTCAGCTTCTCTGTCTTCCCTGAGCTTGTTGGGGAAAGAAAGGAAGCATTCTGAAGCTACAGCAGCCAATTTTCAAACTCAGAAAAAGGGAAATTTAGAGCAATTTACTGAATAAAAGAGCGCAAATTGTTCTTGAATGGATTAGCTTTCTTCAATGCCTGGACCCAATCCTATAGCTAACACCCCAGCCTAGGGAACAATCTAAATGAACCCCCCAAGATACTGTGTAAATTCTAGTGTGAAAAAGCTAAGAGAAGAAACAATTCATTGTTTTCTTTCTTCATCACATTTGAGCTTGCCAGTACCTGAAACTGGACTTCAAAAATTTTAAATGTTAGACGAAAGTTGGATGATAGGTAACAGAATGCAGTTGAATGAGAGGAATAAGTTGTACTGATCTGTAGCACAGTAGCCTGACTATAGTTTACAATTTGTTGTATATTTAATAAAGAACTACAAGGGAACAGTTCAAAATCTCCCAACACAGAAGTGATATGAAGTGATAAATGTTTAAGGAGATGAAAATGCTAATTACTTTAGTTTGATCAATACACATTGTATACATTTGAATTTATCACACTGTACCCCAGAAATCTGTACAATTACTAATGGTAATTAAAATGTTAAAATGTTTCCCATTGCTTAAGGAAAGATTTTCTCCTTCTAAATGCCTAATTCATTTGACACCTTGAACCCTCACTGGTATTGTAATGATGTTTCCCTTTTTTATTTAAGGGGATTAAAATAGCCCTTATGATGTGGTTAGTAGGAATATTTTATTATTTAATTCTCTTCTGTACCCAAATCAATGTACACCAGAATGTTCTCATTTAGATACTCAGATAAAATATATCAGCGTATGGTCACACACTCTAAAACCAAGATGGGTTGGGTCTATTTCCCTAGGAAAATGTCATATGGTACCTGGAAAAACTATTGTCTTTTTAGCCTCTTAATGTTCTAAGATTCCTTGCTGTTATTTTTAGACTAATAAAGGATGAAGTAGATTGTGATTAGTCCAAAAACATCACCCTCATGTCTTTTCTTCCATCCCATTACCTATTTGAAACATGATTTGTGGTTTTGATCCCAAGTCCCTTGCTGAAGTCAAATAGAATCATGTCATCTAATTCAGCCAGGCTCAAAACGTCTCCAAAATATACTCTCTCATATTAAAGCTGACAATGCTAAGGAATCTCAACATTTTGAGGATGGCTAGGGTTATGTGTAGCTTGCAGTACTGAAATAGATATCTAGAATACGTTATTATGAGTGAGAATTTTTACTGACCATTTTCTGCAAGGTCAGTTACTTTTTATCTATTTTAAGCATTGCTTCTTCTTACCTCATTTCCAAAGAAAAATGAATGTACTTATTTCTATTTGAAGTTCATTAATAGTAGAAAGTCAATAGAATGTAAACATAGCTGATATGTACATCCTTCCATTAGGTCTGCATTTTATGATGTTAATGGATGTAGGTTTGTGTGCTGTGGGAAGTACGCTTTTCAGGAGTGGTAACCACATCCTTTAACTTGGTTGGTGTAATAGCTGGGGCACTTTCATACCCAAGGGGCTCTTAATAGTATTAGATTATGATGAAACACTCTGATATCACCTTGCAAGTTGAAGAAAGTCAGGCCAAAAGTATTCCAGAGAACTAGAGGCTGCTCGGGGAGTGACTGCTTACAGGCATAATCGATTCAAGTCACATCTGTCTTGGAAGCAATAAATCCTGCTTAGGAGAATGTCAAAGGCAAACGCATTGCTGTGCTATGAAATTCCACCTCTGAGGATTATAAAACAGTGTGCACTGAGCAAACACATCTCCCAAGTATAATGGGGGTGCCGGAGATGGTGGAAAGGTCTGACAATTTTCCTAGAGAATGGAGTCACAAAGGGGGCATCCCAAAGGGGCAGCCCCTGAAGCCTACGATGATTTATTCATTCCTGAAGGTTTCCAGTCTCAGGTGTCTGAAGTAGGTAGAACACCTCAATTTGCATTCCCTCTTTAGTCTGCAGGTCCCCAAACTCAATGAAGTATCCCATTCAGATCGCATGTGAAACCTGATATTGTGGCTTTTATTCCTGAAAGCTTCATCTAAGCCCCATAATGCCAACTCAGCCTAGTAAGTGATTAGATTCATAATGCCAAAGAGCAATTCCTTCTGGTGGAGATTAATTCTTTGACTCGCACTGTGTGACTCTCTGCCTGCTAAAAGGGGTTGATTACAGCAACTTAAACCTCCCATTGGCAGTTCTCCTCCTTTTCCCCCCAAAGACTTCCACATGCTTGGGGGCATAGAAAAATAGCATGGTTCTTGATGAGGTCTTCTCTTGAAAGGTAAGTGCTAAAGGACAGAGACCTCCATGAGGCCTGGCTCCTTCTCCTGGGCACGCCATGAAGAAAGGCCTAGGAGGGGCCCGTGTTTCATGGATCCATGGCCACCACCAGGCCTTAGCCGTGAGTAGATGGCTTCCTAAAACTGCCTTGTCTTTGGACTTGAATGCGGAGCTGTTTTTAGAGAGGTTGAAACTGGGCATGGTGGCTTATGCTTGTAAACCCAGTAATCTGGGAGGAGGTTGAAGCAGGAGGATTGGAAGTTTGAGCCCAGTCTGGGGCAGCCTAGAGATTTAGTGATTTTATTTTTCAAAATGAAAAATAGAAAAAGTGCTGTGGATGTAGCTTAGTGTAAAGGTCCAAGATTCAATTCCCAGGAGAAAGAGAGAGAGAGAGAGAGGGAGAGAGAGAGAGAGAGAGAGAGTGCTAGCTGAGCCACTGGCACGACCTTCCTGTAGGTCTGTCTCTAGGAATAAAATGAAATAAGCAAACGTTTAAAAATACAAGCAATCACATAACTGACATTTCTAAGCAAGCCTGTGCTTAAGGCCTGATGCAAGTCAAATGTTAGGTGGAAAAGCAATGAAATAGGCTTTATCCTCTGGATTATTGCCTTTCCTCCTCTTCTCTTTTCTTTTGTTGTCCTCTGTCTTCTCTTTCCTTTTTTCTCTCTATTCCCCACCCAGCTTTTCTCCTCCTTTCCTCATATTTTCTCTTCCTCCTCTCTCCCATCTCCTCCTCTTTTAGCTGGCAAAATAAATCTTCATTGAGTCATGGAATTACCTTCTGCCTTTTTAATTTTCTTCCCCTACCTTTCTTTCTGCTCATCTATCTTCCTTTCTGTTATTTGTGCTGAGAACACATTCTCCCAAGCCCTGTATCTCCCTTGCCAAGTAAGAGCGACTCAGTCGCAGGAGATGGGGTAGCAAGAGGCAAGCTTGGCACTTGGGAGGCAGGTGGGAATCCTGCCAGCATCCAGGATGGAATATGGTTTGGGTGGTTTTATTTTTCTTTTCTCTGATTAAAAGCATGGTTTAGCCAACTCTCCCAGTTAGTTATGCTTTCTGATTGGTTTCTGCCTGAATCAGGCTGAGTTAACTTGAATGGATCAGTTGTCTGAGCTGTATGGATACTCACTCTTGACTGGCTCCCAATGGGAGAGGGTGGTTTGGGCCAGAGGAATGCTTGGCTTAGGCCCCTGCCAAGTGCCTTGGGAGAGTTAGCACTGCCAGGTCGCTATCACCTGGCTCTAGGGCAGCACCTTGGGAATTCAGTAGTTCACACATATCCCAGAGGTGTGGTTCAAAGTGTTTCTCCTGTCACTAGCTCTTTCCGTCCCTGAAGATGCTTTCTGAAGTCAACGCTGTGGTCAGGGTAGGACCCTGTGGTAATTACTAATGTAGTTCCCTGGTGCTGTCCAGCAGCTGGTTTCATGGTTGGACTAAGGAATGCAACCTCATTGACAGCCCTAGAGAATGTCTCGCCCTCACTTTGCACAAACTGGGGCACCAGCAGGTGTCTGACCCAAGAAGGTCATAGGTGCTAGT